AAACAGAGTGAAAGAGTGCAAAATATGTTGTTCGTGCAGCTGATTCGCCAAGTGCCAAGTGAATAACAAATTTTCCTGATAGCGTACACTGTTCTTAAGAGTTTTCTACACAATATATTTATATGTTCTGACCATTGCAACTTCGTATCTAATTCAACTCCCAGACAATATTAGCATGGTTATTCGAATTTTCAGGAGTAACATTCTCAAGAGTTTGACTTTCACTTTCATTAAATTGCATATCATTGTACTCGAACCAAGCCCTAGCCTTCTCCAAGATAAGTGAAAGAACAAGATCAGTATCTTCTTCTGTTTCCAATTCAATGCCAACCGTAGTATCGTCTGCATACATAATGGTTGATGCGTTTATAGAATTTATAGTTTAAAGGAGATCATTTATGTAAATCAAGAACAGAAGGGGACCCAAAATTGATCCTTGCGATACTCCTTTCTTCACAGTAGCTATATCACTTCGTTCTTCACCATTTACTACGATTTGCTTCCTTTCATGTAAGTATGACTTCAATATGTCTAGTGCTTTATCACGTATTCCGTAGAAGTTGAGTTTTTCTAGTAATATATTGTGATTCACACGGTCAAAAGCAGATGTCAGATCCGTGAAAACAGTCAAATATTCTTTATTGTCATTGAAAGCTTGTTGAGGACAGAACCGCATCAGAGGTGGACAGCCCCTTTCTGAATCCATATTGTTGTGGAGATATAATTTTGAGAATATCCAAAAAATAAGTCGAAACTGTGTATATGATGATGGCTGTATATACGGCGGATGCATCAAAAATATCTAAAGAGTCGAGGGCAGTATAATAGAATGCCACCTGATGATGATGCAGATGCGAATTCTTGGAGAATTTCCGATGTTAAAATTATCAATATGGAAATGAGATATTGCTGTAGCCATTCAATATATAAATGTCCAATATTTCCGATCTATATTCTCATGACTGAGAATTATTGTGTAAGGTGATTAGCAATAATTTTTCAACTCGGTTTTTTCGTACTGAATTTTTTGTATTTTTGAATTGAACATCGCGCATATTTTTTGGCAATGTGATGTGTGATGTAATACTAGGAAACGGATATAACGAATTCAAACCATTTACAAATCATTGAACTTTGAAGATTTTAATTTGCTCATTTCAATGATACACATTCCGATGGGTCGGCATAGGAAGAATATATCATCATGGCAAATTCGCACTTCCTTTATTGATTGGAACAAGAGATTGGAACTAAAGTGAAAGCTAACGAAACAATCTTCATGTAAAATATTCACACAATATGAAAAATTGGCAAACAAAAACATGAAAACACAAAATGAACGAACTATCCATAAATACACCTATTATGTCGTCCATTATTATTGTGTCTATATGTCACACATCTCTAAGCGCCCTCAGAATAAGTTCTCTACTGCTATTAGACACATACATCCAGAATAAAATTTTGCAAAAATCAGATATAATTAGATGAAGAGAAGTCAGAGAAGAAGTTTTATGGCACATATACCTATTATGTGCATGATATATCAGTGGAAATGAGCAACATCGAATTTCGAAATTCAATGAATAGGGATCGATATCCGCCACATAATCCTACATCTGATGGTCAAAAATAAACGGGGTGTTCCATTAAAAAACTTCGTGAAACATCAATTCGAAATATCAGTTTTAGCCACCCTGTATAATTTTAAGGCATGGAAATTTATCAGAAATAGCACAAACATATCTGTTTAATAAATGCAAGCACTCGTATTCCCAAATCCTAATGATTTGAAAGCATTTTCAATAAAATCTATGAGATTTGGAAAGACAAACAAGTTTCCTAAATGGTTTCACGACTTTCAAATGTGGATTTGTAACTCGCGGGTGCTCTCAGACTCAGACTTTGTTAATCTTCAGAATGTCAACAAATGAGATTTCCAGGGAAAAGTAATCCCATCATTCCTGATTATGAGTTCACCAGTAAAAGGTAAAAGCATAGAGAAATATAAAATTCAATTCATACAATGGGAGTAATGGAAGGTAATGTACCTATACATTGCCAGTATATCGCTTGCAGAATTGAATTGAGACAATTCTAGATATCAATATATAGAGTGTAATTTAATTGATGGCTGAAAATATAGGATATGGTTCCTCAGCTCATTTTGAGAAGAAGAGTTCATATGAACATATTCCCTAAACTTCTCAACTTTCGAACTATATGTTGTTAACGTTTTATTTTCTCTTTATTGAATAAAGAAACTTCCACACTGTAAAAAACTGTCACGTTTATGAATACTTGTTAAAATAAGACCGCAACGTAATCGATCCAATGTCATTATTTCACATACAAAATAGAGCATTAGCCTACAAGTTCAAAATAATTTCGTTATGCCACAAATGCATGGAAATTGTTCATTTTTTTTACGCGAAAACGGTTGTTCGGACGGAAAAAAATTAAGAAGTCAAATTGTTGCAAAAAAAAAGAGTATTTCAAAAATTATTTTTATTCTCGGAAAAATCGAAGGCGTACAATAGTGTTTTCAAAAAATCTTTTGCATCGAAAAATGCCAATTGGTACTTAGTAGGTATGTACATGTCTAATTTCATTGAAATATCTAGAACGGTATTGAAGTTATGATAGGAAAACGATTTTTTTCTTTGAATTTTAACACCCTATAGGTTGAAAGTTTATAGGTTTGGGGCATGTGTTCATCTTCTCAAAATGAGCTTCATTTTCAGCCATCAATTATATTTCATCCTGTACAGTCAATGTGCATCCCATATTGGTTCACACTGTCATCAGGTTTTCACGTTCCTATCCCACTTTTTTTGTGAAACTCAGAATTTGCACAACTATTTCGCCAAAATAGGTCGAATAGAGGGAAGCGTTTGAAGGTCATCTTTTCATTTTTTTCTTGAATAATTCGAAAATCGCGACCTCTAGCAAAATATATCTGGTTATAAAAAAGTTGACCAAATAAGATTGACTATAAAAAAGGGTCTATTCATTTCTCGTCTACAATGAATAGTTCCTGAGATACAGGGGATGAAAAAATTAAGTAGTATCAAAAATAGATTTTAATGGTATGAAATTATATGTTCAATGTCCTCACTTCTTTTCAGCTTTTCATGAAATGTATACCTATAGGCCTCTCATCAAATGATGGCAGTGCGTTTTTCAGTTGACGAGGTTATCTATGAACAATGGCTGGAAAGTGTTTAATTTGTGAGTGTGATGTTGTCAATCATTTATATGTAACTTTGATAAAAAAGAATACGTGGATTGGTGAATGCAAGTGACTTCTTTCGGAGCGCAAGAAAGTTAATCCCTACAATGTGCGTGGGAGACGACGTATAGTTCTCGAGATAGGTATTGATTTTTTTTCAACTTTTGGAGATAAGAAGTTCTTTGGAATACTTTTCTTGATTCAATAAGAAAAATTCCTCAGCCAAAGATGATTCATTATGTTTGGTAAAGCCTTTGAGTATTCAGGTACAGCTGAATGAAAAAATCGAGGAGAGAATGTCGAGAATGAATCGCTCATCTCAGTAACAACCCAGTAGCACCTGAAGCGATACAGAACATATTTTGCGGATGTTCTTTTGTATGTGGGCAACATGTAATGGACGATTTAGATGCCGAAAAGCTGGAATTCCATCATGCTCCATAGTGTGACATTGCCATATGGTATACGTGTACGAATGGTAATGAGTAAAGTATTTTTTTGTTACTATATTTACGTTAAACAACATTTTCATGATGTGAGACATTGGACATGCATTTCAAACCATTAGTGTGTCACTTAGAAGTGGCACACTATGAGAAGACAATTTTCAAAGAATAATTTTTTACTTTTTTCATGTTGGAAACGGAAGCAGATTCGTTCCCGAAACGTTCAAAGCTAAGAGAAAATTTGATATTTTTTCTATATACCTATATTTCTCCAAACCTCTTTCAATAAAAATAGTGTATTTGACAAGCGAATTAATGTTTCTTTTTGGCACCCTGATAGAAAACATTTGTCCTCTCTACACGTGTATAATAATAATAATAGTTTATTCGCTAAGTCAAACAGGAACACAATATTACAAAATACATTTCAACTATCACGAACTTGATGTAGAATAAACCCAACAGCTCCCATATGAAGTTTCCTTGTTATGGGAGTATTAAATCTTAATACAATATTGTAGTCTAGTGATGAAGAATATAATCACTATACACATAAACACACACATACATAAATCAAATAATACAGCAAAAATATTTTTGAAATGAAAAAGTGACTTTTTTCTAATTATTATTAATATTTATTTCTTCAATTTTCACATACATACATGAATTAAGGGATTCACAAACATACAGTACAAAAGTTTTTTTTTGCAAATCACAATGACAAGTGCCATATCATTTTTTTTTCTCAATGTTTGGAATGCATTGCTGATTTTTAATGAAAATAACCATACATTTGGGTTGAAGATTTTACTCAGGTTATTACCAGTCAGACATCTCAACCAAGTCTTGATCTTTATTTTGAAATATGAATAATCATTCACGTTTGCGGTACCTGAGAAAACATTCGGGGGGCTGTGTAAAGATATGACCTCTGACCTATTGATTTGGCAACTTTTATGTTTCTGTTTTCTGCACTTTTTTATATCCCGTATTATGTTCATTCATGTGAGATAGCAGCTAAATTATTCTTATCTTTTTGTTGTAGGCATAATATTCTGTGCAGGTATAATTTTCTAATATTGAATATGGTAATTTCACTGAAGAGACACTCAGTTGAGTATGTTCTGCATTTATTGAATAATATTTTGAGGAAATATTTTCGAGTGATTTCTAGATTTTTCAAATGATTTCTCATATTGATATAATACTCATATATTTATTTTATGGAAACCAGGAGAGAATATCCAAAAAAATCTGGAATAATGTACCATTTATCTCAATATATAATAATAATATATCGGTGTGAAATGTTGACTTACGTTTCTGACGACCCCCGAATTGATGGCAGCGTAAATCCTGTCCCGCCACCTGACCATATCGTCCAGATCGATGGTGATCTGATCGGTCTCCCTCCTCAGATTGCTGAGCTTCTGGTTGGCCACCCTGGCTGGCCAGGACCGGCTGGCCACCAAGCTGTCCAGCTTCGGGAAATAAGCCTCGGAGATTTCCGAGGTCCAGTCGATGAAGCGTTCCACGCGCTTCATCTTGTTGGAGAGCCGTTCGAAATTGTACCTGAAGTGATAGGAAAGCATTTACGTACAGCATGTGATATTTTTTGAATTGACTCGGCCGTTACTTGATGGAAATCCATGTAAAAACTTCACTAACGATAAGATTTCCACAAAATTCTCAAACACACGACATGTCAGGTGATAAACTGGTACAATGAACTAAAACTAACGTTGGCTTGCTCAACTTTTATATAGCCTACTTTCCCAACCTGAAGGATTAGTTACCTGTGGACATGTACGATAAACCTCCATTTTCGGAAATTAGGCACAATATCTACATTAAAATACGGTGTAACAGGTTAACTTGAAAGAGTTGATAGCGAATACATATACATACACATACTTACTAAGAAAACAAACTCAACAGTGGTGAACTATTGAGGTCTAATTGATCGTTAAGTAAAATGTCAGAATTTTTGAGTTTGTTGATTTCTAATGATTCAAATTGATTGAATTCTCTTCCTCCATTTTCTACGTGTAGAATTTCGAAATTATCATCAAAACTATGGTTTTCTTCTAATATATGGTTGGCGTATGTTGAATTTGTTTTATTTTTCATAAAATTCATCGTATGTTCATTGTTCATGAATGCGTTGATTGAACGTACGACCTGTCTGACCGATATATACCTTAGGACAAGATCCACAGTTGATTTCGTATAACCCGATTTAAGAAGTTTTGTCATTATTATTCTTGATAAACCGTCCCAACGTGTTATTTGTTCTATATGCCACTTTTAAGTCCTGTTTATGTAGAAATGAAGCTAATTTTTCAGTTGATGATTCGAAATAGGTTAAATGTCCCTCCTTCGGAAGTAAATTTCAATAAAGAACTCAATATCATAAAACAGATTGCAGTCAACAACGGATACAACGTTAATTTGATAGACAGTATTATTTCCACGCGCTTCATCTTGTTGGAAAGCCGTTCGAAATTGTACCTGAAGCGATAGAAAAGCCTTAACGGACAGCATGTGATGTTTGATTTGACATTTTGAAACTGGATGACCGAATTCCTAATACGGCAATTCTATAAAACAAGGTGTTCCACGGTGGATGGAACATGAGACTTATCACTTATCTGGAGAACCGAACGACAGATCCTTTCGAAAGTTTGCGGGCGTGGAAAATCAAGCATGCTCTATCCGTCTGAAATATTTTCGACAATGCGGTGTTCCTGCTTCTATTAGAAAGTAGTAGGGGATTTCATTAATGCAGACACTTTGGGTCTAGCAGGAATGATTGCAGATATATGGGGTTCTCGAAGTCGAGATTTTTCAACTTTAGGATTTTTTTGTGTCGAAACTATTTATTATTGGTTCAAAATCTCACATATCCCTATCCCCACTTTCTGATTTTGATGTACTGACATTCAATTGGAACAAATACTGGGTTCAAGATTCTAAAATCTGACCACCCTCTATCTGTTCCTATCAAATGTTAGTAGATAGTAAATCAAAAGTTAAGATAGGGACATGGAAGCCGACTTGAATAGTTTCGACACAAAAAAAATCCTAAAGTTGAAAAATATCGATTTTGATCACGTGTTATGTCTGTAATCATTTACGAAAGACCCAAGAAATTTCGTGTTTTTGTTATTAATATTTTCAACTCCATGGGTCTTGAAGAATGACCCATAAAGCAAAACAACGTTTGCTAGGTCAGCTAGTGTCAGTATTTAAATAATAAGGTTGTAGATATAAAAATAAAAATGACAAACCAGTCAACACATAGAATAAAGTGTTAAAAATCACTATTTTATGTTGAGAAATAGTAGGACATACTCAACAGCAGATGTTCCATCTCTATTGTGGAGATGTATATATTATTTGAGTCCCTTATACAGGGTGTTCATTTCAGGACTTCCCACCCTAATTTTCTCGAAATGTGTGTATGTTTTTGAAAAATCCCGAGACACGTCAACTACATTTTCGAGGGGGACATGGTTCTAAAATATTTTCAGCCCCGCGGCGTTGCCGCTTCTAACGAAAAGAAGCAACAACTTTGTTATTTCAAATGGAACACCCTGTATTTTATTGCATTTTTAGATTCTCCCTGAAAAGCTGATTTCATCAATGTATCACACTTGGGGTCTAGCAGGAATGATTACAGAGATATAGGGTGTTCAAAATCGAGATTTTACAACTTTAGGATTTTTTTGAGTCGAAACTATTCATTATTGGTCAAAACGGCTTCTATGTCCCTATCTCAACTTTTGATTTACTATCCACTGACATTTATTTGAAACAAATACAGGGTGGTTCAAGATTCAGACTTTTGATCACCCTGTATTTGTTTCAAATAAATGTCAGTAGATAGTAAATCAAAAGTTGAGATAGGGACATGAAAGCCGTTTTGACCAATAATGAATAGTTTCGACTCAAAAAAATCCTAAAGTTGTAAAATCTCGATTTTGAACACCCTATATCTCTGTAATCATTCCTGCTAGACCCCAAGTGTGATACATTAATGAAATCAGATTTCCAGGGAGAATCTGAGAATGCAATAAAATACAGGGTGTTCCATTTGAAATAACAAAGTTGTTGCTTCTTTTCGTTAGAAGCGGCAACGCCGCGGGGCTGAAAATATTTTAGAACCATGTCCCCCTCGAAAATGTAGTTGACGTGTCTCGGGATTTTTCAAAAACATACACACATTTCGAGAAAATTAGGGTGGGAAGTCCTGAAATGAACACCCTGTATATATACTTAGGAGGAGCATATTAAACAATTCACAACCATTATAATAGAGACCTCTTTGCACTAGTGCAATATAGTTGCAACAAGTAATTTTGGGATGATTGACCGACCCTTGAAACGTTTTTGTGAATAAATTCAGTTCATGAATAAAGAACTTTTATTTCAGCATGGCCACCCTAGCAAAATACGTTTCACGAGACAAGAGAAGGATTTGATTCTAAAAACCAACTTCTCTGATAATCCTGATCCTTATAGCGACAGGAGACAAAAAATGCATGTGTTATCTGAATTTTATTCGAAATCCGAAGACCTCTGAAAGCTGCAAGTGTTTATAAACTGATCACATAAACATAGGGAACGATGGAAAAAAATAATTGCGTTTTTATTAATATGGAATTATGTTTAGGTGGAATGATTGGATATTCGTTGTTGGAGTATTGTTGTCCATTAAAAAATTTCAATTAAAGCCTTCTACTGCTCCAAAATGAGTCGTTTTACGGAATCTAACAGAAGAGAGAGAGTAAGGATGGATCTCAAAAAAGATTGAATGCCAGCCTTTATGGGTTCACTCTCAGAGGATTTGTACAAAGATATATACAGAGATAAAATAAGGAATAAGATAAGAAGGTTCAACATTGACGTATTACCATACAAACCTTCATACCTAAATGAACTAAGAACAAAAAAATGAGTACTTGACCATTTTCCAACTTTTAATATGTTTGAAAATGACAGTGCGCATGGGCGAATGTCAAAGAAACATGGTCACTTGGTCACATCGGATTCGTGCTACTGGAGTGTATTAATTCCTTATTCAATTTCATCTATCTTCTTATATTGGTCTTCCTAATTCTGATTCCATGATATTCAATCATTCTATAAGTACTATAGATACCTAATTCTTATTTTATTTTTAGTTTGTTGTATAAACCCACTGTAAGTCTATCCATTTTGTTTTTAATTCATATAACACGGTGGTCCAAAATTGTGTGGCTGCATAGTAAATCCAAAAACAAAATTCCGTTATTATATGAAATAGTTTCCGTAATTGAATATTATAAGGCACATATACTTGTAGGAAAGGATGATCCAATATCAGTGTAACTAAGTGAAGCAAGTTTAATGAAATTGCTCTAAAATTGTTTTATCCGTCATTCGGCAACCCTCAGAGTGCCTCAGACGTCTTCAAGACACTTGTGCGAGAGAGGAATGACGTGCGGACTTGTGATCCCAAACACTTATTTCTTGGGCCATCAGAAAATGTTCTGCAGTCGTTTGGAATTGAACCCACGACCGGCAAGCCATTGCGATTAAAATACTAACACTTCTACAACGCGGCTACCTGGCCTAATATATTTTAGATATTGTTTTCAATCGTCTGTATGATGAATATTAAACTGATATTGTAAAGCTTCCTTGATGCGTGAAAATGTAGGTAAAGTTACCACAATGCCTTGTATCAGTTCGCTGGTGATTACCGAAGTTACTGTATTGTCGAAAACTGATGTTTTTATTCCAAATTCCAATAAGAAAAAATCAGCCTTTCTCGAGTTATTTTGCATCAAACCCTGTATCCCTAACACTCACTTCATGAACCTATGTTCTCAACAAATAATGGTTCATCAAATAATAAAAGTTATAACGTGTCGTTCAAATTTCGCACCATCCTGTTTATGAAGAGATCAACAAAATCCATAAAGCACCCTATCTTTATCAGTTATGAATACTGTGATACCCAACAAATATAGAATATTCAGCACCATCTCAGATCTCAATAAATTATTGAGATATTTCCATTCCTAATGAAATTGACAGACTACGAAGCCAGTAATCCCATGGTCACGCTTTATATAAGTTGGATCATCAGTATTCGGAAGGAATTTCTTAAATCAACTCAATCCCAGAAAATCTCTTCATCAGATTTGACGAATAAATTGCATCTCAGACTGGATGAAATCCTACAGTGTTGCTCCCTGTGCGCATACGAACAAGCATCGAACAAGTCAATCTAACTTTTTCAGCCACAATTCGATGTTTCTGCAACATTACCTTCCGAACAAAAAATCTGAACGATCTCAGGTGGAATAAATTTGGGAAATTTCCTTAGAGTCTCAATGCAGCCCATCATCCATCCATACTTATCTGGAACTTTTCAAGATGATGTTGAATAATGCATCGATGAGCTGTCAATACAGTATAGAAAAAAGTCCATAGGGTGGAATCTTCGGGAGTAAAAAACAGCATACTAGACATACTGATATTGCAAGGCAGTAGCGTACCGAGCCAGGGTGGCTATAATAGCA